AAAGTAGAGTTGTTACAGAGGCATTAAACAAAAGAAAAATTCACCACGTGAAATAATATTCAGGTTCGTTTTATTTGAAAACAGGCACCCTGTTATTTCACTGATCAAACTTTTCACAGCAAATATTTTAAGATATGTTGTGACATTCTCTCTTCAGCTGATGATGAGACTGCAGAGGAAAAGCAACAAAAGCAAAAGGCAAAATCGGCCCGCAGAGCTCTAGGGTCAGCCATGCTGAAAGAGATTCGAGAACAGTACACTGACGCCCCAGTGGAGATCTCAGTAAGTCTTAGTCTGTGGTTTACTTTTTCGGAGGGGTGGCTAAAGTAAAGTTATAATCCCTCCATGGTTTTGAACATCACAATTGTTACAGCACGCTGCTTTCTGTTGACACAAGACATAACTTCAACCTTTACTGTGGCCTTGGATGTTTCACACCTGCTGGTCAAACATTCACAAATAGAGGTCATACTTTACTTTTACCATTATTTCAGATCTGGCACTATTTTGTTTTCCTTCATGGGGGCTGACTGTGCAGTATTTATTGTTTATGGTGTCAAACCCCTTTATGCAATCAGGTCTGGGAACCGGATAAAAAGTTTATTATATGGTACGGTTGTCTTTACATTGTCTACTTCAATAGTTTAAGACACCCTTCACTCTGATTTCAAAGAAGGATTTTTGACAATTATTTTGTATCGGCGTCCCTGTTCATTGTTTTCCAGGTTTCTCCTAATTGATATTGATCAGTTTTTTAGCCTTGTGTAGGCGTTCTAAATTTTGTTTGGGGAGGAGGGAAGGATTGTATGAGATCAGCCTAAATTATATCTTGATTTGTTTTTCTGAACAGGAGTCCAGAGATGTGCATCGCATCAGAGACAATAAACGAGACCGTGAAAAAACAGAGTGAGTTTCTAGTTAAGGTTTCTTTACCTGGGTGTGTATTTTTTAAGACTTAAGAGGAAATAAGTCATACGTTTAAAATTTGTGTCTGCATTTATCTTCAGTCACTGTTTCAGCATCTCTCAGTTTGAATCTGAAAAAGGTGGACTCTGTTTGGGGATCTGAAATTTCAATTCGATCTACGATTAGACCTCGGAAACTTGTGAACTGAAGTCTTCCATTCTCTGATCTAATTGTAGTAGTAGACTTTACATTGTCACTGACCTTCCTGTAAAAGATCTCTTCTCATATGTGTGCATGAGAATTGGTTAGCTTTTGGTACATGGAGAGCCATTTCTTTTTTGTAAGCAGCCAATTTGTGGTCCCAAATTTTCAGCATCACAAACTTCCTTATAAATACTCTTTTATTTATTAAACTATATACACCGGTAACATAAACATCAAACTGAGTAGAAATTAATGGTCCAAGCCATAGACATACAGTTTATAACAAAGATTGGCTAGAGTTTGGTAGATTTAAAAAAAAACAATTAAACAACTGAGTGATGCCGTGAACCAACTGAACTTGTACTGAAAGTTAAAACTTCTGATAAAAATTTTTAGGTCGGTATCTGCTGCCACTAAATAGATATGATTGAAGAAATCTACACAGTTAACTAAAACAGTTCTCCTTCAAAGACTCAAAAATTACAATGAAAGGCACCATATCAACTTGCCCAGTAATGCTCCTCCTGTCTGAGGACATACCGGTAACTGATTAGATGCTCATTAAAAGAGTTTCTGAATGAAAATGTATTGTTTTAGTTCATATACAGAGCATTGAGTCAATTTCTGCTGTCTGCGTACTGTGTGATCACGAGTTCGCTTTGTAACTGAAAATTCCTTTGTCATATTATTTTCAAGCTTTTTTAACCTAGATTTGAATACATATTTTACTTTTGTCATTTTATTATAGCCACTTCAGTTTTGATGTCAGGTTCTCCTTAGCCTTACTTTTTGTCAACTCTTTCTCACTAATATCTTCTTGGTACCAGTTTTTGATGTTGTTTTGGCTTTGTTTTTGTTTTTAACCACAGGTATGAGGAATCCAACTTTGTTCGTCTTGCAGTTTCAAAGAAGGAATCTGTAAGTATGCGCCTAACAAAGTAATTATTTTGTATCTGTGGTTTACTCTCGTGAACAAGAAGAATTGAGAACGTAGTTGTTTTTGTTACAGATGTTACTGTTCTCTGCTAGTTGGTTTTCCAGCACGTTTTGCGATAGTTCACTTTAAATTTGCTTTTGTCTCATGAAAGTTGAGGGAGTGAAGCTTTGTGTTGAGGCTTCATGTAAGAGATGGTTTGTTCAAACTTGGTAGAATTTTTTTCCTTATGTTTTGGAAATGGCAGAAATTAAAAAAGATACACACTGCTAGGATGATATCTGTGAAATTTTGTAGAATTATGGTTGTATAACTTTGATCAAAGAATGTTTGGTTCTTTTTTGTTTGCAAAAAAAAATAATAATTTGAAAATCATTTCAATCCACTTTTGAGGAAGATATTTTATAGTTTCTCTATGCTTAGTTGGATTGGGTCTGTTATGTTGGTCTTGGCAGGCAGGCACTGCTAAGTGATCTTATGTGTTGGTTGAGGCGTAAAACATCCACTATCATTTTCAATTTATATGATTGGATATTAATTGAAAGATGATCTTTTTCAGAGAGGAAAATACCATATATATTGTGTAATCATAATTTGTCTTTGTTTTCCAAAACAGTGTTAATATTTTGATCTGGTTCAAGTTCAAGCATTTGCCTTTTTTTTTTTTTAGTGAACATTTTTCTGCATTAGAATAAAATGGAATATATATGAAGTGCTTTTTGATTTGTGCTTTGTACAATTTGAACTGAGAGAATGTTTACATGTCTGAACTTAAGATTCACCCCGTGTTTGTGTTGAATACTATTGACATGTACAGATTGTTGTTTTTGATTCAGTAGAGTATATCTATATATTCATGTTCTGTTTTTACTTTTAACTTTTTTTTTCTTCCAGACTGCGATGAAGCGTTTGGGGACAATGTCTGCACTGGGAACTCTGGCAGATTTTGATGGTTTCTCTGGCATGGATGGAGGAGATGAGGTAACTTCTGACTTCGTGCTCCAAGAAACTTTGTCCTTCGCATGTCTTGAGTTTCTGTATAAAAAAAAAAAAAAGAGTTGCCTAAAAGAAAACCCCAATAAGTCTGATCTCAAATAAGTGCACGACCTAGATTGTAAAAATGAATGTAGTCTTTGCTCACTAGTAATCAAGTGCATTGCTAATGAAAATATGTAATAGCATGAACTGCCTGGCATGGGCTGATGGAAGCTGTGGTGTATTGTACAATCCTGCCTTGGTATTTTTTGGGGTATTTTGATCTGCAGTGATAAATATTTTGTTTTTATGGCTTAATGACTCTTGATATCTCTCATACAATTGCTCTCATTCTGCATTTTTACAATTGTTAATTATTGGGGAATGAAGTTATTTCTCATTCAGTATGATCAATCTGTCGGTCAATAAAAAAGAATCTATTTACTCTTCTCTGTCAATTGCATTTATAGTACGTTTTTCAAATTCGTTTTCTTTGTATTATTATTATTGGTATCATGTAACTAACAAGAATTTTCCAAAAAGCATTGTAGATTTAGAGTCATAAAGAACAGCAGTTTCATACTCTCAAAGACCAATTCTGAAACGCATCTGTTAATAGAAGAAAACTCAAAACCAAGGTTTAGTAATGGCAGTACCCTGTCTATTAATATTTCTTGGAACACTCTGGGTGTACCTGGGAGTTAATACATGAGCAAAAAGGATTGAAGTTGAATATTGCACTCTTTCACTTCTCCTGTGGTAGTGAAAATCTTCATTTGTGATTCGTATGTGAGAGGGGAGCAGTTCTGAGTAATACGCTATGTACTGAACTGTTTTAGGCCACTTAGTCAGAGGAGTATTGCAAATTTGGATACTCAAGTGAGAGGAACAGGAATGTGTAAGGCGTTTCTCCTTCCCACTTTCGAGTTCTTGTTTGACCGAATGCTCTTTTTTTTTCAGGCTGGTCCTTCCAAGAAGAAGAAGAAGAATTTTCCTATGGGCAAGGTACATGTATATGGTTATGTCATATGATTTAGACATGAAGACATGAATATGCTGCTCCTCTTTGTAATAATTTTGCTGTGTGTTACAAGCCATCTCTTTAATTTGTATATGCTCATTTTTTCTTTGTTGCCTACCCAAGTGGGTTACAATATGAAGCTTGTGAAACTTTGTTTTCTAAGGTACAAATGTCTCAAGTATAGATATATTTGATTCCTAAGCTGAAAGCCCTTATTGAGAAAGAGCTCATAGTTCTTGGAATTTCCTGTCCAAAGTATAAATATATAACAGTCAGTCTTTTAATTTAGATTGAAACTGCCATATGTGAAGCATTTCACATGTTGTTTTCTTCAAGTGCAGGTTTTTTTTTTATTGCCTTGTCCCAAAATGTGAGGTGATTGTATACAGGTAAATTTCATTTTATCTTTGTTTTTTTTTTTCAGAAAAAGAAAGGCAAAGGTTTTGGCAAGAAGAAAGGTAACTATTTTATTGTGGGGAGTAGGCCTACACGAGGTTCTGTTTCCTGGCACTCATGGGGGTCTCTCGCTTCCGCTAGTTCCTTACATGGATTATCAATTCTGTGTTGAAAGGATCACCCTTTTTCAGAAAGTAAAATAAAAAAACAAAAACATACCAACTCTTGCTGCATAGTTGGTACAGAATATGTCTCTTTTCTTCTCCACCACCCTCCACCCTTTTCCATGTTTGCTGTTTGGAAACAGAATACAGTGACCCATGGTATACAGTCTAGCATGCACTTAGTGAAATCAGCAGGGCACGGAAATATTTTTGTTATGTCCGAGTTTTGCTGTGTGCATGTTTTAAATACAAAGAATATACAGTCTAGCATGCACATATCAAAATTGGTGGGATGCTATAATCTCTTCGTCTTGTACGAATTTTTGTCTTTAGATGCATATATATAAGAAAAAAATTCATGACCAGAAAATCTTTTGAGTATGTGCATGCTACACTGTATTTTAATGATGATACATTTTTGCCTTTCTCCTCCATGCTTTACATAAGGGAGTAAAAGGAACCAGTTGTTTTTTTTTAACGAATGTTAAAGCGTGATTCACTTTGTCCTGCTTCTATGAATGAAGGAAATGTCACTTTTCTGGTGCATAGGCAAACACTCAAGCAATGATGTAGCCTTTTCTATCTTCTGTCTTTTCTTGCCATTATCATTAACTTATTTTCTCATGGTTTTTGGGTGTTCAAATGGTGGCTGAGGCTAAATACTAAATGTCTGAAGCATTATATCAGGTAGAATTTAGCCTATAGAACGCACCTAAACTCTAGTACTCACAGGCACATTTACCTTACACACCGCAGTGTTCTCTTCCTTCATGATATTACAAACTCGTTACTTGTGGCATGAAATGGTTTACCTTGATAAGTTTTTCCAATAGTGAATTGGTTTCATGTGTAATTCTATGTGTAACATTATATTTCTGTTTCTTTGTCATCAGGTGGCAAAAAGCAGAGGCGGTGACAGGTGCAGCAATCTATCTTATTAGCAAATAAATTGGAAATATTGATCATCATGTCGACAGCTTTCGTGTTCACTTTTTGCAATATTTTATATCCAGTGGGTGGTTGGCAGGTGGTCTGGTGTAGTCCTATCAAACATCTATTGTCCTTGTCTTGCCTCCTTCTTTTCTTTGCCTATGCTACTCTAGTATGGCACAGATGGCTTAAACACGTCAGGGATTGACAGATGTGTTTGACACGTTCATAATTCAGGTAAATCAATATAATGTAAAAACCAGCACTGTTCAATGTCAGAGCACACACACACACACCCTTCTCATGTAATCTCTTCCTGATCCATACCTTTGTTTGTGTTCAAACTCAAACTACCAAACACACAAACACCAACAATTCACACACAACACAGTCCAATGCAGCGCCTGTCTTCCATTATGACTCGGCACCCACCCTCACATGTCTAGGTTCAAGGATGTTCTACTTAAATCTAGTGCCTTACAACTTGCATATATACTGCACTACAGATTATGTGCATTGATGCTGTGTTTCAAAACCGGCAGTATACACACACGTACTTTGTTCATAGTGTATTGTATTGGTGTTTATCACCTGTTGATATTTTTTGGTGGCCCCATCCAAGGGCTTGATGTCACTGATATCTATTGTAATGGATAAAGAAATCTGAAAAAACTTCTTCAAGTTCAACTGAAAGAAAGAGAAGAGACTGAGTTTTACCATAAGTGGCTAAGTACTCTTAAAGAAAAAACAAATTTAATACCGGTGTGTTTAGGCCCCCATCGACACAATTGACACAATTAAGATCTTTTAGACGGCGGCTTCAACCCTGCCTGTCAACGCCAACCTGTGCTGAAAGGGATCCAGCGTCCCAGAAGAAAGACCTAGATATTCTATATTAATTCTTCCCTCTGGGAAATCTAACTCAAAACTTCTGCTAACGACAGAGAAGCCCCTAACTGTGACACTACAGATGTTAATAAAGTAGCGCTCTCAAATTTCCTTGGACTTGGATTGTTGGGGAAAATTGAATACAGTCCTCCCCCTTACTAGATATTTATTTTAAGTGGAAATGTGCATTATCAGTTATCTGCCAGATGCTCGTGGTCCCTGGATTGAGAAAAGCAGAACTTTGCCTTTGCACGTTTACTTCCTGTAACTTTTATTGTTTGTCTCGTCTCCAGGGGTGGCGGGTTGTTGGAGGGTGCCACCGGTGGTCTTACTTCTCAACTTTCCCTCTGTACTTACTGTCTGTCTTACTTATTCCCAGGACTAAATGATCATATTCTCAACAATAAATACACATCTCCATGGATGGCAAAAGTGGGTGGTTCGCGGGCTCTCTGGTGTGGTTTGCTTCTTCTTTCCTATCAAACATCTATCGTCTTTATCTCCCTCCCCCTTCTTTTTTGTGTTTGTTACTCTCTTGTAACGCCTCTAATCTTCGGCACTTATATTTATATGATCTTATTGTGTTACAAGTGCCGTAAAGCACTTACTAAAACTAAGGAGTGCAAAATCTTGACCTCTTGAGGGCATACAAATGTTTGGTAGAGCAATTGCTATAGTGCGAAGAAGGTGAAAATCGTCTGACTCCCTCCATTCTAAAAAGTTTTAAAAAGTGTCTTTAGCTACTGATGTCAAGGCAACCCACATGTATCCCCTCAACAAAGAGCTGTCCCCGTGGTTTCATGCACTCCTCATAATTTAACAAAATTTGATAATTTTTTGCATAATTTCTGGTTATTTTCCTTTATAATTCTTTGTTAAAATTGACAAAATCGCGTAATTTCACATTTTTTAATTTTTGGGTTCAGTTTGAATAATTTCAGAATTTATTAATTTTTTGGCATAAAACCGCGTGGACAATCAAAGAGCAAAAACCCTGGATATAGAATCTAGTAGTCAACTCCAGGTAACATGGAGCACTCCGTCTTCCTAGGGACCCCAGTTCTACGTTCAAGTACAGTCAACTCCATTTGTGCTGAACTCACTTGTTGATTTTAAGTACATGTAGTTAAGTTGATCCTTTTCTAGGGTCTCAGCACTTTTTGTTCATTACAATTCCCAACCGCTAAGTTGAACTTTGGCTGAGCTGTGGTCTTTTTTCACACCTGGACATCAACTCATCCCTACTCTTGATTGTTGTTGGTAAAATCAGTTTGGAATGGAGAGCTGAAGTTGACTTGCAGTGGAAACCATATAATATTTAACAGGCCCGGTAATAATGGATTTTTAAAATCCCCGTTTGTTCCTACTCTTTGTCTCTATAAAAGTTGTCAGCAATAACAGGGCCTTATCGGAGCCCAACCGGTTATAGCAGGGACAAAGGCTCGTTAACAATGTGTAAAAAGTAAGAGAATAAGTAACGCAGTGATGGAGCAAGCCACGCCACTGCAAGCACACGCAGCGAGTGAAGCGAGAGAGGGCAGCGGTGTGCTGCAGACTTCGATGTAGAATTCTGTGGCCTAGCTACACGCACGCGTCGGTAATGTGTCACGCACAGGCCTGCCACATGGCCAAAACCCCTGTTGTTGGGTACTTGTGGCAAGGAAAACTACCCATGAATAAATACAGCTGGAATAGTCCACATATTCTTACTTTCCTTGCATTTCTGATTTAACAGGGACCTGATATAACAAGACTTTTTCTCTGGTCCCACCATCTCTCTTATGTCAGGTTTCCACTGTACAATGCTTTAAATAGATGTACAGGATTCATGCATCCATGGTCGTTCTGGAAATATGCATTATATTTTTTACCTTTTCAAGAGAAAAAAAAATCGGCTCAGATTACTCGTGTCAAAAACTCACTGTACTATAAAACTGGTCTCTGGTGCATCAAAGGCAGAGTTTAATTCTGTCCCCCTAAGGGTAAGTGCCAACGCTTATTTGGACTTGGACTTGAATGTTATTTTGTAGAATTAGATGCAAGCTTGGGCGTCATACTTTTGCCTGGGTGGTTCATACTCATAGTGACAAATTTATGTACACCAAGTTCATCAAGAGCTCACATTCATGAATGGTGTCATCAGGATTAAATTATAACTAGTAGCCTAGAGCATTTTTAGGGTATTTTTTGTCTTTCTCCCTCTCTCCTCTGGTGATCTGATCACTTTTCTTTGCATCCCAGGCTGCTTTATTTGTGATACAATTTTCCTATATTATATATATATATATATATATATATATATATATATATATATATATATGTGTGTGTGTGTGTGTGTGTGTAGGCCTGCATGTTTTGAGTTTCCACTACTTCTCATAGTCTTCACAGGGCAAATTCACAATACTGTGGTAATTTCAATGGTCCCGAGAGTCATGCCTGCCGTCAGGTCTCTTATTCGAACTCTTATTAATTATGTGTGCCTCTTTCACTGAAAGCATTCTTTGATCCTTATTTTTGTAGTTGAATTAAAAAAAAAAAAATTTAGAATTTTTAATTATTTTTTATTTTTTTTTGGGGGGGGGGGTATTTTTAGTATAATAATAATAATAATAAAGGAGTTTGGTGAATTCATTCAACCCATATCAATATCAGGTTATTTTAATGACTTTCAACCTTTTTCTTCAGCAGGATCAGGCAATGCTTTTAGTTTAGTTGCTGTAAAGAGAGAAACATAGCTACACAACAATAATTGCCATCAGTGTTAGGATTATTTGGTGAAAAGTAAGGCAGTGCCACTGACTGTAGTGTCTTTAGGCCATTCCCAAAGGGGGGGGGGGGGGGGGACATTTCTCGTTCAAACATCGTAGAATTGTAAATGGGCTGACTCATGTCACACTCATAACTGTGCCTGATCTACAACAGGGAACTGCTGCTTTTTCTTTCCTGATCCTTACTATTGTCATTTTCCTCTACTTTTTGTATGTTTGTCACTCTCTTGTGACCTGCTATTTCCGGGGTGCCTTGATAGTCCAAGCAGACCTTGTGCTGTTGAAGCCAGAGAGGTGAGCAGTCTAAGTCTGATTCCCTGTAAAGACTTCTCTGTTGACACCCACCCCTTGGCGCTCATATGACCGTATGCAGTTGCGAGTGACGTAAAACCCTCTTCTCTACTATAAAAAAAAAGAAACATCAGAGAGAAAAGTAAAGAAGTTGGATCTACAGTGGCATCCTGCAACCACCCCCAAGAGTGAAGCAATGCTCCTTTGAAAGCAATCCTTGGCAAAGAACATGGCCATTTGTTAACAAATAAGTAATAAACTTCAAGAACAAAAAAATAAAATACAAAAATCATTACTCACAAAATTGAAAGGCATATTTCTGGAGCTCTTTTGCTTCGTTTATTGCTAGATTCAGAAACAGCTAAACATGGCAGAGGGACAAAAAACAGGTGACATTCCCTTCAATTTGTACCCTTTTGTGGTTGTCTTTAATAATAATACATGCAAGGAACCTTTCTAATTTTTTTTAGATATTACTTAAATGACAAGTTGTACAGTACAATTGCTAAGAATTAAGAAGCTTTTTCCAAGGTCTTTTACTTTACCACTCTACTTCATAAATCTAAAAAAACCCACCTGAATTTGTCTTTTTATCGGCCAAGAGTTAAACAGCTTTTCAGATACTGTCCCCAATGTAGGCTAATTAGCTATCTCTATCTGATAATTTTATTCTTTCTAACATCAATCTGGCAGTTGGGACTATCACTTAGTATCAGGTGCTGTTCTTGGACAGAAAGGGGTTCACGATCCAGTGGAGTCATCAATTGTTTCCGTTTAGTTCTTTTTCTTCTGTATACAACTTTTTAAATGATTAAAAAAAATAATCAAAGCTAACTCATAAATCAGTAAGTTCATCACAGAGAAAAAAAATCCCAGTAACGCTGAACATGTACCACAGCTAGTCAAAAGAGATGTTCTAGGTAAACAAGGCAGAAGCCTGCTCCAACACTAAAATAAGACCCTTTTTTCTCTTCTTTTTATAATTTGCTACAACAGACAATTGTTATTGCAACGATGAGGAATGGTTTGTTCATCACTTCCGATAAACATGATCATAATAAGTAAGTATTTATGTGTGTCATGCTAATAATAGTT